ACGGGTACAACCTGAGCGCCGCTGGCAAATTAACAGAGCTGGCCGCGCTGGCAGGTACACTTCCATCCGGATGCGATTTACAGCAGTGTTCCATACAGGCAGTCAGTTGTGAGGTGCCCGCTGAGGAGCTGGATGACGATGATAGTGATACGGACGCAAGCGGCGACGGGATTGAAGACCTTGCTGGTGAGGAGGATTCCGAAATGGATACGGACCAGTGATTTCAGGGCAGCAATTCCAACAGAAGTTCCGCTATCGAATCCACCTGACATATTGATTGTGGCAGTGACCTCGGCGCTGAGTTCTTTCCTACCCAGCGTATCTCAGTCAACATTATTTGCCATAAATGCAGTCTTGCAAGTACTTAGAGCCGACTGCCACAACCTTTTCTAGCGAACTGGCTTACCTCTCGGCCTGCCCGTAAGAACGTTTCTGAACTGTGTTTGCTGTTTTCGGCAAATTTTTTGTTCTTCTCAGGGCTTTCTAGAAGAGATTTGTTTCCCAGTCTTGTAATGTTGCGCCTGAAATAAGATCATTGCGCATTCCCTCTGGGATCTAGTTTGATGACTTCAAACGAGCCGAATGTTATGGTGGGAAGGAGTCTCTCCGGGCCTTAACTAATGAAGTCAGTTTACAAGGCAGCAGCTCGGGCTCCCGCAGTCATTTAAAGTCAGCTAAAGTCATGTGTCAAGCAAGTGAATGCTGGAATAGTCCTTGGTCAGCACGAACCTAGGTAGAAAACGGCGCAACATGGCTTTATAAATATTCACTTTGTACACTTGAAAACTATGGCCAGGCGCAACCATAGTCAGCCAGTGACTTGTTGCGCCGAGAGGTGTCGGGTGGCGAGTAGGGGCCAGTTAGAGGCAATGGGGGGCGGCTGTCATGTATGCCGAATAAGTTTCGAAGCGATTGCCGGCCGGCTTCCATTTCAGCTATTTCAAGCGTCTCGCCGGGTGCTAAAATTAGAGACAGGAAATTACTAGACAGACGTTTTGGCAATACGTTTTATCAGTCTGACAATGATGAGAGAAATTGCGTTTCCAGACTACTTAGCCGCCTACTTGGTGTTTGGTTCCCATTTCTCCGCCACAAAATGAAATATAGGTTAAATAGAAATTTACATCAGAGAGGTCGCGTTGGCCTCCTTAGATTCATTGCTTGCTGGTCGTTTTGGTTCGAAGCCGTCGCTGAGGTCGAGCAACTGCGAAGCTATTCTGCCGTTCACTGAAGCACCGGTACTCTGCAGAGGTGCAATTGCGTATTTAGGCTATTTAGATTAAAACAAAGAGACGGCTCCTGACGAAACGATCGAGACATAGGGGGTAGGGGCGCGCTTTCGCAATTCGGGTGGGCGTACCTATACAATCGCATCGTTGAAATGCACAGTCCGGGTCCAGAAATACGCGGAGATTCTAAGTGTCTCTACAGCACATATCATGCGGGTCCTATAATGAAGCTGAGCTCGCAGTGATACGCACGTTTACGGTTTGTATTATTCAAAAATCGAGGTAGGATGATCCTATGATGTAAAGCAAGAACGGAACATGGCCCGAGGGGCGACCGCTGAAGCACTTACCCTCTCCGATTAGTTGTTGGTCGCTGTAAATGCCGATTTGATAGCATGCCAGTAGGGTGTTCATGCTGCATTGCCATTGCAGCCTAGGGAAATCGGGGAATGGAATGCAAATAAACTGTCAAGGTATCTCCATATAGGTTGGGGTCGATGCGTTGACATATTTTGGGAAATAACAGCCAAATACTAGGGTTCTAGTGATCTATTAGAGGATAACAGGAAACTAAACTTGTCACAGGCACCGATGCGACCATTAGGCGCGTAAGAGGCACACTCTAGAAAGTTCGGCCTCTGTCTCTCGGGGGGGGGGGGGAGTTATGCTTGCCGGCCGAAAACGTGCCAAGGTTCGCGTGACTGCTGCGCATTTGGCTTGCGTACATTACTGTGGGTTTTGCTGAGGGAGGTTTCGTGTAAAAAAATAGTCGACTCCTAGATTAGTAGTAAGGTACGATTGCCCCGGCAAAACAAGTCGGTCACAGCATGTCTAGAGAGGCCACATTAGTAGCAAGTGCCTCTATATGCACTAGACGATCAGAAGCGGTTCCGCGCCCTTTACTGATTCCAAACTGGGATCTGTCAGGCGCAGGAGTGAACCAGGGTCGTGTGAGTAGTTGGTGGGCAGGTTCGTGGAGCCCAGCGGTGACACTTTCTTGAAATGAAATTCTCACTACGTTAAGCGGGGTTCCTGGATCAGAATTGTTTAGCCTGCAACAGACCACCGAGACAGACATGCTTTGTAAATGGTCATAGCAACAAAATAACAAGATATTTAAGGACTAACATAACACCGACTTCTGACGAGAAAGGGATCCAAGACAGTACTGAAATGATAGTGCGCTTTAAGGATCACGAACCGAAAATTCTGCTGTACGACGCAAAGTCCCAGCCCCCCACAGAACCTCGAAAACAGTCATCACTTTGTTTATGTAGGGCGAGATTGCATCCTGGACTTGGAAACTGGATAGAACTGTTGGGCTGAGTTCGGCCAATTAGTGGCTCGACTGCCGTTGCCGACTATGTCTACCGTGTGCTTCACAGCAAGATGAGAGCAGGCACGGTGGCTTGCGCGTGATTGAGTTCATAGTGGATGCAGACTTGCGCGGCATCTGACGCACTCCCTTCCCCACCTGGAATCGGTGTCGAGACATAGTCAAGATGACCGGAGGCGTGAGAGGACACAGTCGGACCTGCACCTAGACGTACCACCCACACCCTCTGGTCCACAACAAACGCATGGTCAGGATTTTAACCGACAACAACGACACCACAATAGGTCAGAAGGGCGAGGAGGACTGGGTAAACATGAACACGTCCTGTATACTCGGCAGGAGCACAATGACACCAGCAGGGAGTCAGGTGCCAGAGAACGGCCAGTGCGCACCAGGCCGTGAGGGCCATGACGTTAGCGGCATGCTTATTAGAATGAGCAGTTCTTTAACCACCCAAATGCTCGTTGAGGCCGTTGGCAGTCCTCGTACGCTGACGGGAGTGGTCTATTTTGCCATCCTAGGAGTCTAAACCCAGACACTAGGTTAAGGCTATGGTAAGGCAGAATGCGTTCCTCAGCAAAAATTCCTGATGTGTGCCAAGGGCGGACCTAGAGGAGAAACCGAACATGCAGCAAAATTAGCCCCAGAGATAAAATCTACATACCGGGAAGTTAAATTGTAAGAGAACGTGAGTGGCAGCGTAACACAATACTGGTACATACCTAGCTTCGGGCGGACCGCGATTCTGGGAAAGAAGGACTTGTTTTAGCAGTGGGAAGGGATCATCTTGCATTGGGAAGTCAAAATCTGCACAGAAGTCCAGCTCAGTTAGCCGGGTCAGGATGAAATCTCGAACAAGGAGATGTGCGGTCTTCTGAAATAGGGGCCAGAGAGAAGATCAACGCGTGTCAGTTTCGCTCCAAAGAAAGGAGGTAGATTCGAAGACTGTGCGCAAATAGTCAAAGATCGCATTTAGTGTTTGCTCAGGAAACGTCTTCAGCGGACATTGCATGCAACTGAATTTGGAAAAGTTCCTAAAGGTCGTCTTGGTTGGCTCTCGCCAATAAACCTGTTATGCTGTTTATTAATAAGTGTTTTGGCAGACTTATTAATTTATTTTTACCCAACTGTGAGAAACCCAGCGATCTCGGCAGTAAATTGGACGGGTAACTTGAACCAGATTTGACTAAACCCATGACTCCCGGTGGGGTCTCGTAGCTCAGGTGCCTAGAGCGTTGGCTGTACTAAAGCCTTCCACTTGCAGTCGTTGGTTCGGATCCTACCAAGGTAGCTGGGTTTTCCACAGTTGGATCAAAATAAATTATGCTGTTTATGTTGGTGGACGGGGCCTAGGCTAACGGCTAAGTGATGGCGGTAAGTAGGCGACATTGCTCGAAGAGTCGCTCAGCGAGACACTCGGATAATTCCACTTCACTTCACGGTGTGTTATGCGCGATGTGCAGGTGGCGTTGTTCATAACATGATAAGAGATGTTCAACAAATTGTTTCATTACAAGGCAATACTTAGGAAGAGTTGTACTACTGAGTATAGTGTGGCATAATTTTAAAGTATCAGCCACGCCACGATGCCGCTTTCGAATGCGCGTCCTTCCGATCACCTGCAAAAATCTGCCAGTAAAACCTTTTGTTTCAGGGCCTGAAGTTACCTGACTAGACAACTGTAGTCTTAACTTTGCGAAGGGCATAATATGCTGATCGACGTCTCAGTAAATGACCAGATGGTGTAGGGAGTCGTTTAACAATTGACGTAACACGTGAATGCAAGGGTCACGCACTTGGTCTTTGTTTATTTCGACCGCGCTTATGAGTGGAACTTTGAAGTTTAGGTATGCCATATAAAGATAGTAGTGCGGCGCGTCGCAATTTCGCTTTCTAATTTTCCATAAATACGGCACCTTGGCTTCTAAGTAAGGTTCGGCTCCTGCTTGACCGTTAAGATCGGGACCGAGCAGCACTGGGTCCGTGAACGGCTGGGAACGTGGTGCGACGCTCTTTAAATGGTGTGCGGAGGAACTAGGTTCGAAGGGGGCATTGACAGCGCCTTTAAGGGTAGCTCGGTTAAGAAGGCGCCTGATGGTAGGACAAATTTGCAAGACACTGGCTTTTCGTTCAGTGATACAGTGAGAACATGGATAAGAGGGGTATTCATCACTGATTAAGTAACGGAGGATTTGCGTAAAATTACCGATTACTTATGGAAAAGGATACAGGGATGATACCCAGAGGTTGCCGAATTTCCTCAGGGGACAGAACTCTTAGAATCAGCCTTGGCAATCTTTCAATTTGCTCCTCCGCGTTTCAGTCGAATGCGGGAAAGCTTCACTGGCAGAATGCACAGAGTTTCACTGGGTCCTCACTTTTAAGAGGGCCCGGCATGTTATCGTACTTCTCTTCAAACTCTCTGTGTAGAATATCGCGCACTATGTCCAGTGGAGTGGATGTGAGTTTGGGATCGCGTCAAACGATGCCATAGTTTGGTTAGGCCGAACAGTCTTCTACTAGATGTCAGTGATGAACTAAGGAGCCGAATAAGCTGGGATCTTTGAGTCCTCTGGAAGAGAGTTTGAGGACACGTGGCCTCTTCCCAACTCTCCGCTATCCCATGTCATCAGACTATTCCAATTTTTGTGTTATAGTTCTTTTATTGTCTGAAGATAAGCCCTGTACGAGTCATACAGCTCAGTCATCTCAGGACGAAGAGTTAGGCTGCAATGGCTCCCCCTTAATGTGGCCTATATGGCACTCCACTCAGATGACATCCGGACCGTCCGTTTTTTGTTACTGTGAAAAGCTGGCCTATCGTACGAGAACCAGGTGTATGGCACGCGCATACTGGCTGTTTAGCTTTGTAGACCACTGCGCCCGAGCTCGCTTCCGGTCTTCTCTGTATACACACGGGCCTCAGGTGGATGATGAAGGGGAGTGTGGTAGGTGCGGCGAAAGTCCACTATGATCACGCCGCATCACGGGTGATTCACCGTCCCTGCGCCCAATCGTCGTTGGCGACGGTCCAACTGTCCAAATTGGCAGTCAAAAGGGGAAATGCGCACTCACAGAACAAAACTTCGAACAGAGCTGCAAATTCGATTCCAGCGACATCCAAGTCATGGGCTAGGCCGAAAGTAAGAGAGCTCGAAGGATAACTGGGGACCTGACAGTCAAAGTCCAGAAGAGTGTACCTACGCATGGCCCAAGAGACCGTCAGACATAACCTCAACGACAACGAACGATGAGTCAGACACTAGTGAGAAAAGCTCTGCCAGACCTATATTTTCTCGTTTGTCATATACGCTAGTGCGTTTGAGCAAGTGTGAAGCGAATGTACTATCGTCCCTAGAAATTGAATTTCTTTCTTTTGCATGTACCATAAGAAGTTAAATTGTACTGCGGGCTAACGGTTCTACAGAGTGCGGGTGCTTTGAAAGAGCAGACTGCAAAATAGGAAGTAGTGCAGACTTTTTCGCATACCGTATCTTCAGCGTGGGCGCCGATCACAGCCAAGAAGCAGTTTGCGAGTGAGGTTAACGAGGGTGGGTGGGTATTCTCGGGAAGGAGAGGTGAACCTGGTTCCCTCGGCAGGCAAGAGTACAAGACAAGGTCGCCGATGCCCAAATGACCACCAATGTAGGCGAGTTCCGAGTCTGAGAGAAGACGGTCAGTTATGCAACAGACCCACTCCTCGGGTAGACTTGGGTACTGTGCACGAAGAAAACTGGTGACATATGTTTGCCCCACTTGACGACCTAGTTATCGACAAATCGTAATTTAATTAAAATACCGAAAAAAATTAACGCAGATAACAGTTATAAGGGAGGGGATGAACGCATAAAAATTAAGCGACAATTTGAATATATATCACAGTTTGACGGTTCCAAGCGACGACGTCCAGCACTGCACTACGCCGTGGATTTAACAACAATGACTTGAGGTGGAATCTGTTTATAGAAATTCGCAGCATCTCGCTTCCTCCTCTATCATCCTTCTTGTTAGGAACACAGGGCAAAGTCAAGGCGATCGAAAATGGACGTGGGCGAAGTGGTTGAGATAGCCAAATATCACGTCACCGCATGTCACAGAGGACCTGATCCCTCATCCATAGGTGTCAGGCAGGCATAACAAGGGTTCAGGTCACACATAAGCGAGCATGATTACACATAGTGCGAAGGGAAAAATAGCAAATCAGTCAGATGTGGTTACGTAACCGCACCTGAGGTAAAAAAAAACTTCAGCCACCTTCAGTACGGAACCGGTGGTAATAGGGGTTTTTGCAGGTGAGGCGGGGGAACGCACAGGCGACGAGATCAAGCAATTGTATGCAAAAGAAAAGCTATTAGAAATGCGCGGTGGTACGTTGAGCGGTTGAAAAATAGTTACCCTAACAGTATTGCGTCCGTCAGGTGCGGCTGTATAAAAATATCTTGCCAGTAAATCATATAAAACCACCGAAGTTAGTTAGTGCAGTACCAGTCATACCACGACACCTTTAAGCCTGCATTCAGATTGACCACAAATGGAGGAACACATATATGATACAAGGCAATGTGCCCATAAAACACGACACACGACTGACTACCTTTTAAGGCAAGCAGTCCATTGTCTTCAATGCGTGCTGTTTTGCTTTCGGGAGACCTAGCATTGTTTACGTAATTGGCATACGATTCGTCGGTGAAGCATTTTTGAAGAGTCAGGACGTCCATTTTCTCATGGATCCTGTGACTAAAAGCGAGCAGTTCGGAATCATAGTTCCAAGGCTTCCAGGCAGAGCGTGGTCTATACTTTTCAGGGCCTTGGATAAGTCTTCGGTTGTAGAGGTCACGCAAGTAAGGTCGCACGTTTCTCGAAACGCGCATTGAGCGGGAAACTTGACAAAAATGGTTAATTGCAGTAAGGAGAACATACGAAAAAGTATTGGAACGCATCGACGAAGAAAATAGTCCATTATTGGCAGCGATCCTTTGGTTCAGCGGCCGTGAACTTCAGCTACTAAAATTAAAACCGAAAAAAGTAGGTCAGATGTGGTTATGTGGCCTCATTTGAAGTAAATAAACCCCAGCCACCTGCATATGGGACCGGTGGCAATAGGGGTTTTTACAGGTGGGGTCGGTAAACGCACGGGCGACAAGGTCAAGTAGTTATATGCAAAGGAAATGCTATTGGGAATGCGTGGTTGTACTTTGAGTGGTTTAGAAATAGTTGCACTAACCCCTAACCATAACCCCAACCCCGAACAGTGTTGTGTCCATCAGGTGGGACTACATAACCACATCCTACCAAAAAATATGCCATCGAAAGGGAAATAAAACTGGGGTATCAGACGGAGGGATGAGATGTTAAGTTCCGCCAACTTTCCCCTTACAGACGTGGGCGAGCCAACGTAATAATCATTTACGCTAAAATCCATGTCAATGCAGAGAAAATATGCGTACTTGTTAAACGTAAAATGCATTTTTTTAATCTGGAGAAAAAAAATGGAGTGCTCGTTGGCGTTTCCTCTTCAAAAACCCCAACCATGCAGATACGGCAAATACATCTAGTTCACATAAAGGACAGCCTTGGTTCATGTTTTGCGCAAAACAGTGCGAACTTCCCGAAAAGTCGCCCCCATTTCCGTCATTGGCTTACAGGTTTGTCAGCATTGTCGCTGTTCCAATCTGCGAATGATTCGTTTCAGCTGGTTCAGGCAATCCATCCTCACGATGGCTATGCTTAGTCACATTTAAGACCATCAGCGCCAAAAAAACCATTGTCTTTTGGTGCGTGGCAGTCCCATTGCCAACCGCACACGCTATCACTAAGCCCTAATCCTTAAAATCAAAGCAAACCCAAACAATTTTATTCCTCTGTCCACCTCGTACCGATCGGTGATGAATCGCAACACGTCCATCCTACTTCCTTTGGTTGGAGGCAAGGACATGAATAAGTTGCTTTCAAGGATGGAATTTACTAATCGTCTACGAGAGAGTTAGTTCTGCTTTTATGACTCCCATGTCCGTCGGTTCACTAAAGATATCGTACTAAGTGGAAGAAATTCCAACGTGTTTTCTAAACAATCCGATCAAGGGCGCTTTTCATGGTTGTCCGAAATCAACAAGACCTATCCCGAATTCGGGTCGTGGTTCACGTCGCACCCACCAGCTATTTCGTTAAAATATCAGAAGTTATCCGTACCTTTCAACTCGCATAAAATAGGAGGAGCACGCTCTCCAACCTAAGGTCTTTGAGGCGTAAAGGCTCACCATCTTCATCCACGAACGACTTCCTTATTACCTTTTCCGAACACGTTTGAATGGCGCGGTCCTATTGAATCCAACAGTGCTTGATAGTCGTAGACCTGTGAACCATTTAGAATGGGACGAAGAGATAGTCCTGCTATATCGGTAGTACGTTTTCATGCCAACTTACTGCCATGACCAAAGTTTGCCTCACTAACTACTGTTCTGTTCCTCGGTTTAGTTTAGATACGTCAACTGTAAAATTAATAAAGGCCAATTCTAGGAACGTTGTTCACTCCGATTCATATGTTGTGCGTAGTACTTCTCTCACATGATTGCAGCCACTGTGACTAAGCAATTTATTCACCTTGAAACTTAGGATTGGATTGATTTCTCAGGTCAGAACAGTTCGATGTCGATCCAAATACTTCAGGTAGGCCCGAATAGTGGAATTCCTGGTTTCGCACGTTTGAAGAGCTCATATCCACGACCGAAGGCCTGCGACCGAACAGACTGACAGTTCGGATTAATTACGTTTCTCCAACAGTCTGGGAATGCGTTAGTCAATGTACCAGTTACGGAGAAGCGGTTGGGCTGCTGAAAAACCTTTACTCAAGACCCGAAAAAGAATTCGTTGCTCGCCATCTTCTAGTGATCTGTTTACAAGGGGGACAGACCTTCGACCGATTCGCTCAAAGGCTGAAGTCTTTAGCTAAAGACTGTGACTTCAAAGCTGTTACGGCACAACAAAATCGCGACGATGTTATCAGATACGCGTTCAGCAGACCAGAAACAGTAGAATTTAGTGAATCAGGTTTTAAATTTTCAAGGCGCTCTTGACCAGGCATGGACACTGGAATTGGCAGAAAGACAGTCTCTATATTACGAGAGTCCTCTGACGGCCTCATTCTCTGCCGTTACTGAGATGTGACCAACTCAGTTCAGTCCTGCTAAAGCCTCCAGTTCATTCTATAACAAGTGCTTTTTTGTGGATACGGCAAGTTTCCTCGCTTAAAGTGTTCTCCAGACAACGTATTACGAGAAAGATGCGGTAAAATGGGGCACCTCCAGAAAGTTTGTCTGACATTATGAAACCGAAAAGTTTTCGCTTCTTCTACGCACTTCCCCATCTCCGCCGTAGTAACGGCTACCGTTCCTCTCCTTCAAACGCAGAGATTAAAGTATAGATAAACAGGGTTAATGTTCGGGCCTTAATGCACAGATATTTCTGTGAAGCTGACTTCTTCTGCCTTCGTACTCCAAAATAACTGGAAAATTTATAAAGCTCGCCACCGTCTTAACCAGAACCACATAAGGAACTGTTCCTGTTTGGATTAAATATATAGGTGCCGTTTAAGAAACGGTCGAGCTATCGGTGTTGCCGGGTTTGTTCGCCGATATTCTGCCTATACATGACTTTCATCGGCTCCAGAATTGTTCAGATTTCTTTTGGCGGGTCCAAGCCTGCATCACATCATGTTCCTTGTCGTCTGCTTTCTTCGAAACTTGTTTGTTTCCTGATGTAGCACTGAGCTGCAAGCCTATCGAGACACAATTTTGCTGACATACTACCGTAGACGAGAGATATATATACGAGATCCGTGGTCCTCTGTCTGATGAGGTAACTGAGCTCTTCTCGTCCACTTGGCTAGTCTAAGTTCTGGTGGTGGCCAATGAAAACCCCAAAAGGCGGATGATTGCTGATTATAACCAAAGTATTGACAAATAAACACTACTTGATGACTGTCGCTCTCCCCAGGATTAACGGAACGATCGAGCATATTATAAACTACGACACGTATAGCCCTCTTGATCTCAAAAGCGCCTTTCGCCAGATACCTATCTGGGTAAAGGTCATAAACTGCCTTTGAAGCTTTTTGCGGTTTATATACATTTTGTCAAATCCCATTTGGCATGACCAACGGATTTGCGTAGTTCCGAATTATTGACGAAGTAATGATGCGCAGGCAGCCGAACAACATTTTCCTCCACGCAAACAATATCGCGATTTGTGGGGACGGCCTTGCAGAGCATAATTTAAACCTTACAAAATTCCTCACGGCAGCTGAAAGATACGAACTAACTCTCAAAAAAGCCTAAGGTGTGATTGCTGCTAAGCAAACCAAGCTTCTTGGTTACGAGGTGTTTAAGGACAACATTAGACTCGGTCCGGACCGCCCAAGATACTCACATGAAATGGCTCCTTCGCACGATCACAAGTCACAACAGTGGGCCGCGGGATTGTTCGCACACTATTCGCAACGGATACCCGATTTTTCAGGCAAAATTCATCTCATTCATAACAAGACGCCCCTTTACCATTATGGGTAATGGAAGACCTTGAGGCTCCTAAGGAAGAACTTGCAAAAGTCCCAATTGCTACCGTTCAGTATGACACCCCATTGTTTGTCAAAGCCGATGCTTCAGACGTCACAATTGCTGCCACACTGAGCCAGAATGGCCTACTAGTAGCGTCTTTTTCAGGGAGTCTATCCCAGAATGAGCGGCATCATTCTACGATGAAAGAGGGCCGTAGGGCGTAGTGTAATCCATACGAAAATGGGAACACTATCTCCTCTCCAATAAATTTAAACTCATTACAGATCAGCGCTCTGTCGTCCTTATCAATGTCAATCACAAAACGAGGAAAATGAAGAATGATAGGATCGAATGCTGGGGGTTGGAGCTGTCGCCATTCAAATCTGACATTGTTCACCGAGCTGATAAAGAAAGCTGAGTGGCGAATACGCTTTCTAGTAGCTGTTGTTGAGCCCTGCTAACGAATGCCGATTTCGGCTATTGCACTTCGCTCGAGCCAGAAATGCCCCCTCTTTGATTGATAAGATTCATAATGATGTCGTTAGATGCCAAAGTTACTGCGAATTCGAACACCCTTTCTTTTCTAAAGCACAAGGTCAACTCAGTAAAGCCACCCAATCGTCCGAATGATTGCCAATAGACTTTGAAGGTCTGCTTCCGCCAGTGACCCAAAATCGTTATCTGCTGACGACTACTGATGAATGTTCTCGTTCTCCATTTGCACTTTCCTGTCCTGTTCGGACTGGAGAGACAGTTAATGGATGTTTGTGTCGCCTCTGCACCATATTGGATGCTCATTGGTACATCCACACTGAGCTAGGCGTCACTGTTTGTCGAACGACGTTCAGCAATTCCTTCACGACAAGGAAGTGGTGACTAGGACAACTCTGTACATTCCTCAGAGAAAGACGCTGGTCGAGTGCATGACCAAACTTTGTAGAGGACAATTTTACTTGCTCTGAAATCTGTTTGCCTGTGACACACCGGTAATCCGTTCTAATCGACGTATTGCCCTCAAGCAGATCACTTTTATGCACCATTGCAAGTGCGACACCACGCAAACGAAAGTTTGTCTATAACTAGAGGTTTACCACTGGGACTGCTCTTTCTATGTGGCTCATTCCAACTGACTGAATTCCGTTGAAGAGCGGTCAACAGGTTTAATGTGATCCGCTCGTCCCGGAGATTGATCTGCCCGCAGGAAAGCGATACAATTTCAGCTGACAAGCCTAATTTTTCAACATCATCTAGTGTTCATTGCAATGACGATGTCCATATGCATAACGTAGAGACATTGACCAAACAACAACAACGCGTTTATCCATACTGCCTTCGCAACAGGGACGTCTAGAATTTGTCATGTGCAAACTTCCCCATTAAAGGCTTTGACACCCTGATCCCTCTATTT